GCAGAATTAAGTGCATACTTTTAGCTTTCTACTATTGACCTCAACTTTTCCATGCTTATTTCTGACAAGAGCCTCATGCTTAAACTGCCTGCCTTGATGTTCCCTCAATAAAGGTGCTATATTTTCCCACAACTATGTCTTTGTCATTCTATTCACCTGGGATATCTTTCCATTTTTTTTTTCATTTTTTATTGCAAATTTCTGCCCATCTTTAGAACAAATTCAGATTTCACAGAGCTTTCTAAAGAATATATCCCTTCATCATATCCTCTGGTGTACATATACCTCCTCTATAACCATTATAAGACGAAACTTACTGAAGAGTAAAGTTACAGTTAGTCACAAAATCGTTCTTCTAATACCACCCTCCTCTGTTACTGACAGCAATTTAACAGGAGCAATTACTTTATAGTCATCTCTATGCCCACCTTATGTCTGTCAAGGCAGGCCCTTTCTCAGTATCTTATTTAAACTTCTTCATTTGAATCAACATTTCATTATAATGTTTTAAGGTATGATAATAGTGATGAACATATGAAAATGATTTCTAAAAATATACATTTTTGTTAACTTGGTAAAGCCAGCAACCTCAAAGGTCATATTTCACTTGAAATATTTCTTGTTTATCATGTGAGGAAAAAAATCAAATTGTATCTATAATTTTTCTTAGACATATGAAATACATGAGGAAAAATAAGTGTGTTTTAGAATAAAGGAGGTATAGCACAATAGTTAGGACAGCCTTTTGAATGTCAATTTTCCAGTAATACTACTTACCTGTTGCACTATATACCTCTGAAGAGTTCTCTAAGTCTTCTCCAAACAAACTCAAGCTAAACGCAGTTATTATTTTTTAAATATCCCCTGTTTATGTACCCCTGAGGAATTTAAAGGGAAGGGTCTAGAATAAGCACACAAACAACTTGGGGGGGGTTTGGCCGAAACAATCCCCTTGAGGCTGCTCTTTAGCGTATGAGATCCTGAAAGAGCTCCAAATGGCTCCTACCAGTTACTTTCTCAATTTTCTGGGGTCTACATTGAATGTGACCCCACTATGTGATTGATGCAAAACATGTAAAAATTTTATTTCTCACTGAAGTAAAAGAAGATAAAAAGCATGTGTATTCAGTTAGAGTTGGAAATATATTGATTTGTATAGATAAATTCTAACTGGAATATTCCTTGTGAGTCTCTAATGTTGCCAAGAAATTCTCCCTTCTGTGGTCCTGTGCCTGAAATGCATATAGAAGCATAACTGCTGTATCTGAGAAATGACCATGTTTCCTTTTAGTCCCTAGCAAGAGTAATTGAATGTAGAATATCTTACTAAACACTAGACTGTGACAGTGTGTTAACACTCTGACTATCTCCTAACAGCAGGGCAATTATTTGCTGAGTGGGATTTTTATAAATCCCCTGGCAGTAGCGTGTCCTGATAATTATGATGAAGTGCATTGGTCAGTGTTGATTCAGCAGTCCTTACCCTAGCAGATATTTCATTCACAGTTCTCTGGCCCACTTTTACTTTTCTATATATTAGAGATTTTTACTACTCTTGGCTACTTGTTCAGTATCTAATTTTTTCAAAGCATAATTGATCAGAACTTAGAACCCAAACATATTTCAGACAAGTGTCCTTTAAAGACTATCTGTCTCTCGTGTATTCACAAATTTTTAATCATAAGGCAAGAAAATAGTTTTAAATTTCATACCTTTTGTGCCAATTAGCCAATCCTGTTGACTGTGCAATTGTCATTTGTAAAAGTAAAACCCAAAGTCTCCCACCCAGTATATGTAATTGTTCTTCATTTTTGCAATAAATAGTTACTTTGAAATCATGATGATATATTAGTAATTGTGATTTGGGAATCATAGGTACATTCAATCCTGTTTCTTATTCTTCCTACTTTACAGAAACTTGTTTTAAAAGTAAACCTCAATAACAAAAAAAGGAGAAAAGAAATTAGACTATAGCTTCCCCCAGGCAATTACAAAATAAAGGTCAGTGTATGAGTGAAAATGGCCATAAAAAACATTTTTTATGGAATAAAACAGTAGATACTCCAAATATAATGTGTATATTCCTTCATTTGCAAATCAATTGCACTCTTAAAACACTTTTGCATATAATATTTAAGTGTAAGAACAAAAACTGAGAAGAAAAGAGCCATCTGATAGATTGTTAGAAATATGGAATGGTTCAAAATATGAATGTAATGCTAAGGGTGACTGGGTAACAAATGGCACATTTGCTCGTTGTTCAACCTGACGTAATTAATATTCCAGGTCATGCTTAAGTTCCCATGATGGAGGGTCTGAAGGGGGAATTCAAGAAAAATATATATCTATTATATAACTCATTGGCTTTTTTTTTTTCCTTTTGACGAGTCAGAATCATAGCCTTTAAAAAAATCAGTGCTTTCACACCTCATTTGCAGTATTCACCACTGGGCCACCAGTCAGCAGCAGGCCTGATGCAAGGAGGTCAGTAAGAAGCTATTAGCAGAGTCCTCTCCTGAGATTTCTTGGGTCTTATTGAGTTGAGTGTTAGCATGACAGTACTGCAAATAACTCAGTTGTAGGCTTTTTCTTTTTCTTTTTTTTTTTTCTAAACAGTTAGCACAGATTTCCCCATAGTGTTGGTCACTCTAGAAAATTATTGCTGAAAATAAAGTCCCCAAAGCTAGCTTGGCAGTAGCCCTTCTAAGTTGTGAAAAATGTGAAAACTGAAAATATGTCAGAGTCCCTTAAGGTTAACTCTGTCTTTTGTGACCCATAGTACTATTTTAAAAAATCAACAACAAAACATTATTCATTAAGTGGCTTACAAAACGGTGAAATATGGCAATTGAGACAATAGTGTGTTAGGGTTGTTTTATTTACTTAAAGAAATAATAAGTAAATGGATACTTTATCAAAGTAAACGAATAGGGCATTTTCTTGCTTTAGGGATTGAGAGAGTCCTGAACTATTTTTATTGACGCAAGTTAGCAAATGTATTAAATTAATTTCTAAAGTACTGACACCTTGAAGACTTTAAATGATACATTTGAAATTCAATTAAAATATATTTTCTACCTATATGTGATTTAAATTGCAAAGAGAATACACATGAGGAGGTCTCCATATAGGTTGCAAAATATAATTTAAGAAAGCTATCATGTCTACTGATCTATTTGCATTTCCCATCTAGCCTATGTATACACACGCATGCAAATATAGAAGAGATCAAAGACGATTCCTAATAGGGTAAAGTTAATAGCTGGTAGCAATTATTAGGGTAGATAGATATTTTTAAATGATAATTTATAGTCTGATTAAATGGTACGCATTTCATCATTTTAATCTGTAACGTTGTAGACATTTTAGTAATAAACTGACAGACTTCAGTTAATTAGATCATCAGTAATGAATGAAATGGTATTCTCCTAGCTTTTTCACAGACTATGTAGATTTAGTTATATTTTATGCCAGAATAGCCTTTTTTAATGCAACATTTATTGTTTTTCCCATCACAATTGATACATTCTTATCTTAGAAAATTACCTTAAAAATTACTGGACACTGAAAGCTATTTTCTCCGTAGTCACCTTCGTGTGTTATTTAGTTACAGTGAAAGCAACATTATGGCATTAAAAACAGCTTTAAGATCTTTCAGCACAGTGTTTTTTCCTGTATCAATTTTAACAGGTAAAAAAAAAAATACTGAAAGAAGAGCCAGTTGAAAAATATTTTTATATATTTGAATTCATTTACATTAGCTTTTTTTATGTCCAATAAAATTTAGTTCCCAATTACAAAATAGGGACACTTGAGTTAGAGGTGACTCAAGTGAGTCTGTGATCGTTTAGTTCGAGATCACAATGTATTTGAAAACAAATTGAAACTGGCATGTTCAGAAAGAAAAAAAAAGGATATAATCTAAAAATTCTTTGAAAGCAGTTAATAAGGTTTTAAAATAAATAAAATCTGCTGAGATATTTATGTCTTTGGAAAGCAAGAATATAATAGAGGTTTGCATGGTCCTTCCTGAACTGTGAATTGTTTGTTATTCTACATGATCATTGAAGTGTCTTTTATTGAGTGTCTTCTACATGCCAAGTACTCTGCTAGGCCCTGGGGTTGCAAAAATACCTGACACAGAGTCTCTACACTCCAACAGTTTGCTTGTGGAAAACTGATGCACACAAAATTCATTCTGCAACCACGTGATGGGTGCTGTAATGGATGTCCCCAGGTTGTTAAGGGAGCATATGAGTGAAGACATTCAGTTCAACTTGGATAGGTATTTGATAGAGGTTGTCAATTATTGATGAGGTAGGCTAGAAATACAAAATTTTCCTGGATGATTTTTCAAAGATTTTGCTGTTCTAGTTAATCTGAATGCTTTGGGAGGGCTGATTCCGTAAGGTAAATGGAGCAAACAGAAATGTTTGTAGAAATGCTGACGGCATAAAAGGAAAGCACATCTTTAGGGAGAACAGACAGATTTAATGGATGTCTTCTAGGTATAGTTCAGAGTGTCCACAAAGCAAGCAAACAAGTCATACTGTCCTTTAAAATGTAACTTTTCCTTATGAATATGCATTTGTGTGTGTGGTATTTACATATACACATATACCTATGTGTGTATTTTGTATACTCTAACAGCATCAGATTTTCAGACAGTAAACAAGAATACAAAATGGATGATGTAAGATTCTTCTGTTATTTTTATCTTAGATAAAATTACATAAAAATACCATGTGTGGCAGATAGAAACTATAGCTCAGTGGTTTAAAATGTTTAGTATTCAATCCCGAAAGTTGTTGAAATTGTTTGTCTAGAATGGAGGAAAAGCTATGAGCATTATATCTAAAATCTCCTTAGGTGAATCTGAAGTCGGCCACCAGTTAAGACTTAAACTGTAGTTTTGGTTTAAGAAACATGAAAAGTTTCCTGGTACAATTTTGTCTTCCTTTATTTCACATAAAAATTAAAATTTCTTTATTCTTCTTTAGATTCCAGGTATCTACAATTCACCATTCAGAAGAGATCCTGATCCATGCGAGTTGCGGTTAAAGAAGGCAAGGCCTATAACACGCCAAAGGCCTAGAGTTGAGCAGGCCTCCTCCACAGACCTTAACAGCTGGCTAGCTTGTACAAGCGCCCGCTCTTTTCCTCGATCTGAAATTCTGCCACCTATTAATAGGAAGCAATGTCAGGTACTAATTATCTGTGTAAGAATTCTGTCACTGATTTTATTTTTGCTGTTTATATTATGTAAAATACATGTAACATAAAAATTAACATCTTAAGCATTTTTAAGTGTACAGTTATATTATGTACAATACATGCAACATAAAAGTTAATATCGTAACCATTTTCAAGTGTACAGTTCAGTGATATTAAATACAATCCTATGTTTGTGCAGTCATCGCCACTGTCTGGAGAACTCTTCAGCTTGCAAAATGGAAACTCTATGCCCATTAAATAGCTCTCCATTTCCCCTTCACCCACCCCTGATATGGCTAATTTCACTTAGCATAATGAGCTTAGAGTTCATCTGTGTTAAATTCAAGTGTCGCAGATGTCTATTTTCAGAATTTCCTTCTTTTTTAAGGCTGAGTAATACTCCATTGCATGTGTGTCACACATTATGCTTATCCAGTTAGCCAGTGATGGGCACTTGGAGTGCTTCTATGTTTTACTTTGGTTATTTATTTATTTATTTATTTGAGACAGAGTCTCACTCAGTCACTCTGGGTAGAGGGCTGGGTATCATAGCTTATAACAACCTCAAACTCTTGGGCTCAAATGATCCTCTTGCCTCAGCCTCCCTAGTAGCTGGGACTACAGGTACCCACCACAACGCCCGGCTATTTTTTTTTTTTTTTAAGAGACGGGTACTTGCTGTTCCTTGGGCTGGTCTTGAATTCTTGAGCTCAGGCAAACCACCCATCTTGGCCTCTCAGAATGCTAGGATACGGGCATGAGCCACTGCGCCCGGCCCTACATTTTAGTATCGTGAATAATACTACTGTGAACGCGGGTCTACAAGATCTCTTCAAGACTATGTCTTCATTTCTTTTGGGTATATATGCAAAAGTGGAATTGACAGATTCCACTTCTATTTTTAATGTTTTGAGGAACTACCATACTGTTTTCCATAGTGGCTGTGATGTTGAACTTCTTTTAATGTGCTTCCTGTCATTTGTATATCTTCTTTGGAGAAGGTCTATTCAAGTCTTTTGCCC